GACGTAATTTGTTTTCAATGGCGACACCATTACAGCGATTGTGTGCACAAAAGGGTACAAATAGTCAACAAAAACGTCATTCAAATGCGAAATGAGACCAAAAAATGGATGATTTGTTGCGATTGTGTTGACGATTGTCTTCGCAGTGTCTCCTCATCCGTGGTATACGTCTGGCCACCGATCCATCACCTGAACTGATCCAAGTGTTTGTGTGCCGCCAGTGAAGCCATATGTCTGAGCCGTCGACGAGCCACGGACTGGCCAATGGCTACCATCGGATCCAAGCGATGGTGCGACGGATGCCCACAAGACTCCGATCTCTGGACATCTCGTGGATCCGTATGCGACGGGACGGCACCCATAGCTCCTCCACCACTGCCACCCCCGCCCACGACACGAGACGATCGTCTGACGAGCCATCGATTGACACTCATGGCTGCCACCGACGACCCCCTCCCCCACCACCACCTCCTCAACCGCCACCTCTTCGCAGAGAGTCCACTCAATCGCTGTTCGGATCGGCGGACAGTTCGCAGGCGTCGACGCTCACCGCCCAGAGCCCTACGGCTACCGGTGCTGGTGGTGGCCAACAGCCCCTACTGTCGCGACCCCCACACTCACACCTGTATCGCCACTCATCCCACTATCCGCTACTATTGGGCTCTTATAACAACTGGTCGGCCGCTCGCGAGCACCGACTCATCGCCCACTTGACGGCCACCGATGGCAACGGCGTCGTCGCCGGTGGCGACCATAACGCGGACAAAGAGCGCAACGTCTTGTCGGCCATTATGTCGATTGTGGTGATCGCCACTCTGGCCACGGCGTTGGCTCAGCCCAAGTGGTTCTCCATCAACGGTGGCCTCTGTCCGCGCAAATACATCGGTCTCCAGGAGTTCTTCTACGTCGGGAACTTCAATGGTTACCACTTTGATGTCAATAAAGGTATGCATCGATGACTGTAGCCATTGGACCATTGAAGCCCTTTTTGTCTCGTGTTTTACGCTTTGATTATCTTTGGGGTCAAAGAGTTTTTTGTGAGTTTTTTGGTGTGTTTTTTGTTATCATGTCTTTGAGGTTTTGTGGTAACCATTGATGTGATAATTAGTGTAGTTTTGTTGTGTGTGTGTGAATGGCTTAAGAGTTGAGGTTTTATTTATTTGATTTTTTTTGTAGCCACAGATGAATGCCGTAAGAAGTTGTATGTGTTTTGCATAAGAGTTTGCGTTTGTTTTTGTAATCAATTTATTGAATGCATAAATGAATTGCGATTACAATCAGTAAGAAATTTGTGGCTTTTTATGCGAAAACTTTTGAGTCTTAATTAAAATTTCTGGTTTTGTGTGTGAAATATGTTTTTTAATTACAAAATAGTAATGAATTTTTGTTTTGTTTTTTTTCATTTCGCGAATTCATTTCCAACTCTCACTGTATTATCAATTCGTGTCATCACTTGTTTTGACAATTATAGCAATCTTTTGGCACTTTTAATGGAAATTATTTTTTAACGATTAGAAAATGAATGGATTAACAGATTATTTACTGAAATCTTAAGCATAGGTTTTATTTGTTTATTTTATGAATAATTTATTTTGGATCTCATTTCTAGAAAATTAGTAAAAATAACTAAAATCAATGCAATTGTTCAGCAAATTACACGAGACTTAAACAAATGGTTTGCGAATAAAATTAATTTGCAAAACCAATTGAAAGCATACATGAAATGCGTGAACAGATCTTCATTGCAGTCATTCACACATTAGTTAACAAATAATTTTGTACTTCATTACTAATTAACTATTTATAAGTGTTTTATTTGTTAGAAAACTGTTTTAACCCTTGAATTCAATTTCGATGATTAGATATACAATTAACGCGAGTTTTAAATATACAATAAATAATTGATTAAATACTAGAATATAAACACTTTTTAACACATTTATCGTCTGAATTGATAGCCAAAAGCGGAACCACTCATAACCACAACAACCGGCAAAAAACGGTCGACTCGGATGGGGTCGGGCATCAGGTGCTGACCGGCGAGACGATGCTGTTGTACGGCGTGAACGGCGACCTCAAGAACTGCGTGACCCCGGAGATCGTGACACTGCAGAGGCTGATCATCGGCCTGTCCTTCTTCGCCATAATGTTTAACTTAATTCAGTTCTTCTTCGACACACTCGGCGTCCGCAAGAAGTGGCTGAACGCCGTGCGCTCCCACGCGTTGGGCAACATATTAGGCGTACTCTTATGTGTGGTGATCGTCGGCGTCGCCTACTTGGTGTCCACTCTGCTCGAGAAGCAACAGCACCGGCTGCTGAAGGAGCAGCACAGGGCTGCCGGCGCCGCCGCCGCCCCGGTATCGCCCGACGCCATGGCCGCCAACAGTCACGTGGAGGTGAAGTTCGAGTTGAGCTACTATTTGGTGACCTTTTCGGGACTGTTGGCCATCATAGCGGCCGCGTCTAACCTATTGCGTCGACCGCAGCACTACTACATCGACGCCACCGACGCCTTCTGGAC